CCCCGCCCCCGCGCCCAATCCCCAAGTGCACGAACTTCGTGCACCGGGCCTCTAGTGATTTAATAAAGCTGGAGGATGAGCACTTAGATTATTACTCAATAAACATCTTTGAATGCATGAAATGTAACTATTAATAAAAATTAGTTTGAGACAATACATATAAAAGTTAACAAAAAATTACTTTATGATGGTGATTATCAGCTGGTTCTTTGACTATGTGCTGAAATAGGTTCTTCTTTTGGGCTCCATTAGTGTTCAGAAGTAGAGGCCTAAAAATCAAAAGATATCTATGAAGCAAACATACAAGAAATTTAAACTGCTTCTACTACAAATACACTCATGGTAATAATGAATAGTAAGGATAAAATAAATTTTAGTAAGGATACAAAAGAAACTCTTAAAAATCATTTTATCTTAGAAATAGAAATTGGGGGATCAGTGTGCCTTATTTCTTCATTCATTTTTACTACTTTTGCTATAATAAATGTAACAAACTACTTTCTCCAGTTATGTTTCATTGCTGACTGAACTATATAACTTTTTTTTTAATTTTTGCTTTTTGTTTTTTAATTTTATCATTTAAAGTATTACAAATAGTAGTACATCTCCTTCTTTCCCCATTGACCTCCCCCCGGCTTCCCCAAACCCCCGGCACATGCCCTCACCACCCACCCCCCAGTGTCTTGTGTCCATTGGTTATCCTTACATGCATGCATGCATACAAGTCCTTTGGTTGATCTCTTGCACACACCCACAACACTCCCCTGCCTTTCCGCTGTAGTTTGACAGTCTGTTCGATGCTTCTTTGCCTCTGTATCTATTTTTGTTCATCAGTTTATAATGTTCTTTATATTCAACAAATGAGTGAGATCATGTGATATTTATCTTGCACTAACTGGCTTATTTTACTTAGCGTAATGCTCTCCAGTTCCATCCATGCTGTTGCAAATTGTAAGAATTGCTTCTTTTTTATGGCAGCGTAGTTTTCCATTGTGTAGATATACCACTGTTTTTTTCAATCCACTTCATCTGCTGTAGGCCACTTAGGCTTTCCAAATCTTAGCTATTGTAAATTGCGCTGCTATGAACATAGGGGTGCATATATCATT